GCTCCATTGGGTACAGAATGTTCTGCAATATGAAGGCAGTCCTAGAGAGACTGGTGACTGCCCTCCATTCAGATCCAATTTCCCTCAACACCGCTTTGACCAACCCCACCAGTTTGAGTCTATCCTGCCTCTTTTCTTCCAGGTTTGGGCTTCCTAAACATGCTAGAAACTCTGCCAGGAGAGGGCCTCTGTGCCTTGTGCTGTGTGGGAAGCTCCATTGGGGAGGACCAGTGCACAGCCCCTCCTCAGAGGAGAAGTGTTTAGTAATTAGCCATAATGAGGAGGGAAGGGTAGCCCGTTTCATTGCAGGGCAATGGGGTTTTTAAATCATTTCAAGGGCTGCGTCAGCTCGAAAATGGCCTGTAGTGGGGCCTCCGAGGGGCTAGTAATTAGCTCTCTTGTATTTAATGAAAGTAGAAGGGCAGAGGAGGGGGTCACTTAATGAATACACGGATTAGCTTTCAAATAGATCCTAAATAAGAAGCAGGTGCAGGGGGGCGGGTGAAGGATAGGCTCGGGCCAGCTGAGTCCCAGGCTGAGCAGCAGCCAGCCCACAGGAACGTGGAGATGGCAGCCAAGTTCTTGTGGGTCTCAAGGGTAAGTGCACACCCCAAGGTTACATGGCTCCAAGTCACCCCACTCCACCACTGTGAGGCAGCAGCGAGGGACCTACTGCTGCCCCAGCAGGATGGCAGGAACCCACAGGCCTGTATGCAAGCCCAGGGAAGGCAGGAGCACCTGGCCTCAGGCGGAGCCTCAGGGGGCCTGTGGAGGGCAGTAAACAGAAGCCCACACACCTGGGCCTGGGTTCGGCTGCACTGGGCTGGGCCCAACCTGGACTCCACGGATCAGACAAGTCCAGCAGGAGTCCAGAGACGGGGCCTCATCTGGAGCTCCTCCCCCGTCAGGACAAAGCAGCCAGGTAGGGAGGCCTGGGACTGCCAACTCCCAATATCCTGTGGCCCTCTGGGCAGTGCAAATTCCTGTGTTTACAGCAAATTCTTTTCCCCTAGAACACTGGTCATACAGAGTCTGCAGAGAAACCTGCATCTTCATGCTTTTCTGTACAGAGAAGTCATTCCCAGGGTTGGGAGTGATGGCACTACAATCCCCAGAAGCCACAGCGCCAACCAACGCATCCCAAGATTGGTGACATTATGGGGCAGGAAGGCTGGGGATGGCTGCCAAGAACCCAAAGCCAATTCCACGGCATTTTAAAGGCTACCATCTCTCATTCACCTGGACAAGAGCTGCAGAGGAGCACAGGGCGACACAGAGCTTCCTCTCCTGTGCCTCCTGTGTGGTCAAGCTGGGGTGCACATCCCGGAGTGTGGAAGGCAGAGCCCCGAGCCCAGCTGTCGGCCAAAGGCCAGCCTCAGGATGCAGGCTGCCTCCCCACACATCCACCTGGCCATCACTTCCTCTCTGGGCCTGCTGCCCACAAAGGGGCTCACGCAATAAGCTCGGCAGTTTATTACTGCTCTCTTCATTTGTTCAGCGTCGGCGATCCGGCCCCTCGACGGTAAGTTCCGCACAGTGAGGGAATCTGTGTGCCTTGTTCGCTGGTCTTCCCAGGCCTGGCATGCAGCAGCCACCTGACTCACATGTTGGCTGGTGGGCTGGCTTCCTCGGGGAAACCAGAGGACCCGTCTGCCCCCACAGACCTCCAGCCAGGAACTGCATGGCCTCTGCCTACCCCCTCCAAACACAGGCAAGTCCGGCGCCTTGCTCAGAAGGGACATGAGACGAGAGAGACGAGAGGCGCCCCAGAACGCCCCCCGAACCAAGGACCAACCCCCAGCCCCAATGGAAGGCGGTTTATAGAGGGCGGGGTGGAAGCCTGGGAGATTAAATCTCCTGGACGCCCAGGCACGGACTGCCTCTAGGTGACAGTTTCAGCGGGGATTTAAACGTGCGAGGAGTCAGACCAGCCTGAGTTCAAATCCGGATCTACACCTGAACAGTTCTTTGGGTATGACCATGATAACACCACACACAACGAGGGTGACAATAGCGGCACCTACCCTTCAGAGAGCACCCGGAATCAGCTTTTTCGTGACCACCACAAAGCTACTTCTGAAGAAAAAAGGCTTATTTTGCCTCAGTTTTGGAGGTGTCATCCAAGAACCAGGCCCGTAGGTGGGACCGGACGGCGACGGACAGCACGAGAGCACGGCAGAACACACCGAAAGGAGCGCATCCGGAAGCGGGCTCAGGCTTATATAGCCAGACCTCTCGCGAGACCTGGCCTCTGGACACGCCCCGTGACCTCAGGAGGCCCTCGAGGCCCCCCTCCCTGGCGTGCTGCCTGGACCGCGTGTCCACCCCGCAGCCCGGCCCTGTGTCCTGGAGGTGCAAGTGCTGCAGGTTGCTGTTCTGTCTGTGTGCGTGGAGAGAGGCACGGGCGGGTACGCTGTGTTGTTTTCTCAGGAAGCTCCCTGCAGGCCTGAGGTCTGCACTCCTCCGATCGGGTCAGGTTGCAGCTGGGGCTGGGGCACGGAGTCCCTTTCCCGCTGCTGCGGTGAGCAAGGCCAGGTGTGGGCCCGAGATGGCTCCTAGCGCCCACACCTGGGCTCTGTCAGCCTCTGCTGTGGATGAGCCCAGCCTGCTGTTGGTCGCGGGCCCAGAGCACAGCGCAGAGAATGGGGTCCATCCAGGCAGCCCCTCTGGAGGCCTCGGGTACTGTGCGGCCTAGTGTTTGGGGGGACCCTAGCAACGCAGTGTCCTCTGGGCCCAGAATAAAGTCATTTTGGAGACTGTGACGCATCTTCATGCAGCTCGGCCTCTCCCACCCCACCATCCCATTGGAAATGACTGAGTTGTGACCCGAGGCCTGGCAGCGTGGTCCTGCTCTGGTCCAGCACCCCAGCAGCTGCCCCCCTCCCCGGGTCTGCCGGATCCCCAGAGGGAGGCTCTAGGGGTATATGCCAAGGACCAGCGGCTCAGCAGGGGACGTGCTGTTCTGAAAGGCCATACAATGTGAAACAGAAGCCACCGGGTGAGCAGGAGTTGGATGTACCGCTGTTCTGGCACTGCGTCCAACCAGGAGGGGGAAGAGTTTGTCAACGTTTAGAGACAGTTGGGGCTCTATGGGGGCCTCATGTGGCTGGCAGAGCAGAGAAGTTGCCCAGCTTAGCTGGTAGGATGAACTGTTGCTAGGTGACAGACATGGCACCAAGGGTGGGAAAAGATCTTGTGCCCACCTTAATTGGGATAAAATACCAGGAAAGGTTGCCCCTGGGGCCAGATACAGGGTGAGGTGTGCTCCTGAGGTTTCTGGTGGTGTGTGTGTGATAGAGACCTGATGATTTTCTCAGGCTAAACCAGGCTTGACCAAAGATTTTTCTAGACCAATCCAACTTCATGTCTATTCTTCTTGACTGGGACCCTTTCAGGTAGCACCTGCTAAACACCGACTCAGACACTGCTCCCTCACTATCTTTCTTGCACTGTTGCAGCTCCCTCTCCTGGCACCCCAAGGGTGGTGTTGCAGGGAGTCATTCTGGCCAGGAATGGCAGTGCCCTTGGTGCTGTACCCAGTCTGTGCCCTGTCGTGCTGAGCCAGGGGAGCCCCCTGTTGAGGTCTGGGGTGGGCAGAATCAGGATGGGTCATCCAGGCAGGCCAGGACCCTACTACTCCTGGGGGCTTTCAGAGCCTGCCCGCCTGATTGTGAGTCTATCTCATTGTGAGTGAATTAATTGTCGTGCAACCTAGAGTGGTGAGACAAGTTAATTACATAATGACTGCAAAATGACACGGTATTTCATGGCTGCAATATGGCAACTCTGTTGGAAACGGATCGTAATTGCCCAGAAACTGCATTCGAGTGGCTCTGTTATCTCTCCATCAGCATGTAATTAATTTGCTGCAACTTTGCTGCAAACTCTCAAGTCAGGAGTTGGGGCCTTTGTGCTGGCATGGCTATGCTAGACCTAGAGACCCGGGGAGGGTCTGGGGGCTCTGCTACAATCTGGGAAGATAACTTGCTCCTCCAAGTTGGATGAGAACTTCTCCCTCATGGAGCCCAGCCTCCGTGGCTGTCTCCGTCCACAAGCCCGGCTTCCCAGTCAGAACACAGCCATGGCGGACACAGGTCCTTGCAGCTGGGCTATGCCCCTCTTGCATGGACAGCTCCATGCAAGGTGGGTACCCAGGACGTCTACCCCAAGGTCCTTAGCGCCCAGGACTCTTACCCCAAGTTCCTTATCCCACACCATCCCCTCTCACAGATGAAGCCACTGGCTACAAAGAAACAGTGTGGGAAGGTTGCCGCCTCCAAGCACCAAGAGATCCCAGTCAGTGCTGCATTTGCAAGGAACAGGGAGGGGAGTGATGGGAGGCCTTAGGCCAGCCTCTCCCCTTGCCCAGGTAAAGCGCTCCCCTGGGAGGGCAGCCAGTAGCCCGATGGTGGAGGAGGCTGTTACAGCCTTTCCCTTTGATATTACTGGGTGCTGCCTTTCAGCTCAAGTCCTTGAAGGTAGGGACTGTGTGTGTGATTTGCTCTGGGCCTCCGCTGCCTCCAGCATGGGGCTGGGCCACAGAGTAGAGAGGGGACGTGAACCTCTCCAGTCTGCATGTGTGGAGCTGAAGTGAAGCAGGGTTCTTGTCCCTCGGCCAGAAGGGCAGACTGGCAGGCAAAGACAGGTGCGTGAAAGGGACGCAGGCTTCAGGATGGTGCTCCCATGGGAGGGGGCTCAGGAGGTGGGATCCGGGATCCTTCCACAAGGCAAGGGGTTAGAAATGAGGGCAAGGAGGGCTTCATCCTGGCCCTTTCTTGGGAGCCTGCATGGGGCCAGATTGTGTGCTTTGTCAAGGGTGTTGGGCAGACACCCCAGTTTTCACCTCCTCTGCCCCCTCTCCTTCCAGCACCTTCCCTAAAGCCAAGTTGACCTCTGCCTGCCAGAGAAAGCACCAGTGGAGCCCCTCCCTCCCCCCAGGGCTGAGCATCAGTCACCACAACAATGTGGAGCTACCTCCCCGGAAGCATTCATAAGTTTAATCCACGCCAGTAATAAAATCGCATTACATTTCTCATAAAATAAATGTTCCCATTTATATACAGAAGACGGACTGTACAGGCGCAGCCTGGCCCCAGGAGGGGTCACACACAGACGGGCGGCGGTGACAGCAGAGCAAGGGCCACACTCATGTCATGGCCAAGGCAAGGAGGAGTTCTGATTCGGCCGGCCAGGTGAGTGGGTGGGCGGGCTGGTGGGCCCAAGGCCAGGCGCCGGGCGTTACTGAACCTGGGCTTCGAAGGAGCCGTTGAGCTGTCCCTCCTCATAGTCCATCTGACACAAGATCATGTTGTTCTTCAGGAAGAATTTGTCTCCCACGCAAAATCTGGAAAAATCCAAGCAAGAGAGAGTAGCCATGGGAGGAGGCCCCGTGGGCAGCGAGGGCTCCAGACCGGATCCAACCCAGGTGGGAGGCGAGTCATGCTGTGGAGTTTGCTGCCTGAGATCTCCAGAGGGGGGCATGGCCCAGGGGCCCACAGCAAACCTGCTCAACTACACAGCCAGGGTCTGCTGCCCAGGGTAGTGGGATAAGCCTGGGCCAGGGCCTCCCAGGGTCAGGTCCTGGAGGGGGTGAAGGGCAGGGAGGTGCAGGAATAATTCACCCTAGTTCTGGAAAGGGATGAGGAATGCAGAGGAATGGATAGAGATGGAGGCAGGTAGAGGAGGGAAGGACAAGATGGTTGATTTTTTTCCTTCCCCTCTCTTACCACCCCAGATGGCACTCTTCCTCCCAGCAGAATCTGCAGTGCCCTCCAATGTTCCTCCTAAACAAAACTCCACTCTATGGCCTCCTCTCTGGCCTAGCCTCGGTCTTCCTCAAGTATGGAGGCATTCCAGTCCTTTCCCCCAAAGGCGTCCCCAGGGTGGCTGAGGTCTTGAGTCTAAGAGACTGAGGGCACAGACTCAGCGTGCGCAGATCCCAGTCCAGCCACCAGGTGGTGCTGTAATTTCACCAAGCCCTCCTGACAGTGGGTCTGGCCGGAGCCCCCAGCTGGCAGAGCATTCCCAGCAGGTGCCTCTGTGAACAGTAAACTTTTGCAAGAGTTCCTACCTGACTTGGGAACTCCTCAGAAAAGGGCCCGCTTTCTGGTTCCCAGCCTGGTTTGACACATCCCTGGGGACTACCTTAGGGCTGGGGCACTGCACAAGGCCCCAGGGACCACCAAAGGGGCTGTGCTAGAACCAGCAATCACAGAAGTGGGGCCAAAAGTGAATGGCATTCCCTAAAAGGACTCCCCCATGCCAGTCTGTGAACCCTTCTCACCAGAATGCATGTCATGCCCACGTACAAGGGACACATCGAGACACAGGACACAAGGATACATAGCTCTTATCCACACACACTTCCAACTTGTGTATATGTACATATGTGTACATATGTGTACACATATGTGTACATATGTGTACCATGCACACACATGCTCTTTCCTTGTGCACAGACATGTAAAAACATTAAAGCACTTACATACCATCACACACATGTACACAGTGGTACATGCACCCAGACACTCACACCATGCATGCACAGTGAGCTAACACATTATATTCACATGAACGTCTGCCACAGGGACCAGGCATGCAGAAAACATACCTGCACACGCAGGCTCACAGAGAAGCCTCATTCATGAGCACGATTCCCCAGGACTCCTGACCCGGCCCGGTGAGCCCTCAGGCTGGGCTGCGCAGAGCTGGGGCGTGCCACCAGGCCAGCACTCACCTCTGGTTGCAGAGCTGACAGGCGAAGCAGTCCAGGTGATACACATTGTCCCGGGCTCGCATCACCATCTCAAAGGCTGGGATCAGCTTGCTGCAGGCAGCGCAGTTCCCTGTGGTGCCAAAGAGCCTGCCAAGGGAGGGGCACAGGGGACTCAGTGGCCGGCAGGGAGGGTGGGCTTAGCACGTGGGGCTGGGCAAAGGCGTGAGAACCCGCACACACAGCAGCTGGAATCTGCCAGACATCACATTTCAGAGAGCCCAGGAGGAAGGGTGGGCCAGGGGTAGGGGGTGAGCTGCCACTGTTGGTCCCTCTCGGGCTCCCAGGGGGGGTCCTTCAAGCACCCCCAAGCCACCAGAAGCTGCTAGGTCCCAGGAAACGGCTCCAGATGGCACACAGACAAGGCTAACTGCTAGAGGCCGCCCGCCAGCGTGGGGTCTCTCTGAGGCTTAACAGTAAAGCCAAAACCAGAATCGCCCTTCATTGCTGGGATGCTGTGAAACTCAGAGATCCTGTTACACAACTCCTAGGTGCTGCTCAGTGGGGGTCAGGCCCCGTCCCAGGACCGTCCCAAAGATTAACTCATTGAATCTTGATGACAAGCCCGTGAGGTGGGACTGCTGTTACTCCCCATTCCAGAAATTTAAAAAAAAAATGCAGCACATGGGGCTGGTGCTGAGGCATAGTGAATTAAATCTCCATCAGCAGTGCCAGCATCCCATATGGGCTGGCTCATGTCCCAGCTGCTCCACTTCCTATCCAGCTCCCCGGTTGTGGCCTGGGAAAGCAACAGAGGATGATGACTCAAGTCCCTGGGTTCCTGCACCCCTGTGGGAGACCCTAAGGAAGCTCCCGGCTTCAGATCAGCTCAGCTCCAACTGTTGCAGCCATTTCAGGAGTGAATCAGTGGATGGAGGACTTTTCTCTCTTTCTCTGAAATTCTGTCTTTAAATACAAACAAATAAAGCTTGCTGAAAAAGAAAAAAAGTAGTTTGGACTCCTCCACCTAGTGTTTGTTCTCAAGTCTATGGTGCTTTTCCTGCTACAAACTGAGTCTTTTGCCTAAGCCCCCATTCCCTTTTTTCAGAACCTCAGTTTATCCTTCTGAAAAATGGGGACACTGGCTAAGATGACCCCATTGAAAAAGGGTGCTTTCCCAACAGCAGTGATACCCAACAGAATTTCCCAGGGCACCTGGCCCAAGTTGGGACAGGTGTCCGTTCTCTGAGCTATGTGCTACAAAGCTCTCCCTGCCCACACGTGCCAGGCCTTGGCTGGACGCTCCAACGGTCTGAGCCAGGCAGGCTTCTCGCCATTTCCTTTCTGCACAGCAGCAGAACAAGTGCCAAGTGAGACCCGGGGACCAAGAGGAGGCTGAGCGGGGCGGGGCGGGGCGGGGGGGGGGAGCACCCTATAATCCCCGATTTGTCCAGCTCAAGCTCCAGACGCCTGCAGACAAGCTTGGCTCTATTATTCATCAGCCTGAGCTGCCTGGTGGCTCAGATAAAGGCAGACAAAGGCTGGGCCACAGCATCTGCCTGCCAAAGGCAGCCTGACGAGCGGCTGCCGCCCAGTGGGCAGGACAGATGCCCTGGCCCCAAAAAGTCACTCCTCGCCTCTGCAGGGTGGGGGGAGAGGAAAATACCTTCAGCCCCTGGTAGTCGGCAGGACCCTCCAGCTCTCCTGCCAAGCCATCCCCTCTTCCCTCCCTCCCTGTGGATCCAGCAGATGGCTGGTGGGTGCAGCCCCCAGGAGATGGCTCGAGCCTCCAGGCTTGGAGGGCCCTTCAGTCCCTCCTTCAAGGGCTGAATCTCAGAAGCATCTTTCCTGAACCCCTTCTTGGGGCTTCTGCCTCCTTTCAAGCCCCAGTTAGGAGCATGAGGCCATAGTGTATCACCTTTTTAAAAAGAAAAGAAAAGAAAGACCCTGCAAAGACCCAGAGAAGAGCAGGTGCAGCAGGTCAATCTCAGCCCGTCAGGGAAGCAGAGAGTCCCCACTGGTGACTCTGCACCCAGACAGGCCCAGGCCTGAGCAGAGCAGCTCAGCAGCCCTGGCCCTGACCCATTAATTAACGCCACGGGCCAGCCTTCCCCACCAGGCCCGGCCACCATCCAGCAGCCTGCCCAGAGCCAAATGCAGGTGCTGGGCCTCAGCCAAGACCTCTGCTTTGTGGCCTCCTTCCAGCCTTGCTGATGTCATGAATGGCCTTGGGCAGAGTTAACTGAGGGAGGCAGCCCCCAGGGGGATGAGGTTTGGGGATGTGGGGGAGGGGAGGCCAGAACTCAGAGGAATGCTTCTTCCCGCCACTGCACAAAGAAGAAACTGAGGCAAGGAGCAGGTGACAAGCCACTAGCTCAGGGGTGATCCGAACCTAGGCCTTCGATCTCCATGTCAGCCATCCTCCTTCTAGGGCATGGCTCCCCAGGCAAGTGGGACCCTGAGTGCCAGAGACCACTTGGAAAGGGAGAGGCTAGCAATAGGAAGAACAGTTCCAGGGGAGCCAGGGTTCCCTTACCTGCCCCTTAGAGCCCCTATGAGGTGTCCCGTCCCAGGTCTCTGGAATAGGGGGGTACGAAGCACCTGGTGGAGGCTGGAGCCTTTGGGGAGCTTGGCTGAGGCACACAGCAGTCACCAAGCTTGTCTCGGACCTGTTCTGGGCCAAGTGTAAAGAGTTACAGCCATGTGCCCCCTCTGCCAGGTGTCAGAGAAGCAGGCCAGGAGTGAGTGAGTCGGGGAGTGCTGGGAGCGTGGTGCCTGGCGGGGCTGTGGGCCTACCTCAGGTAGTCGCGCCGGCACAGGATGAGGTTGGCCTTGGTGTAGAGTGTGGAGCCCACCTCTCCCAGGCGGCAGTCGCAGCAGGCACACTTGAGGCAGTCTTCATGCCAGTACTTGTCCAGCGCCTTCAGCAGGTAGCGGTCCTTGATCTTGCGGTTGCAGCCTGCACAGCCCTTCTGCTTCCCCTTGGGCTGGACAGACAGCATCGGCACACCTGTAGGTGGATGCAGACAGATGGAATGGGGTTTGGGGCTCCTGGGAGCCTCTGTTTTCCCCTCTGGCTGGCATGGCACAGCCAGTTCTACCAGCTTTGGGACAGTTCCCCTGAGGCTGCTCTGCCCCAGGCCTGGCCTCTCTGATCTGCACCCCCTCGCTCTCCTCATCCCTGCCCTTGTTAAGTGCACACCTGGTCCCCAAAGGCCTGGGGTGCTCCTCAAACAGCCACCACCCAACAGGCTCCTCAGCAGCAGGACAAAGAACAGATTCTCACCACGCACAGGGGTCTGCTTGCCACTCCCTAGGGATGCTTGCCAACTCTGGTCTTTGTCCACACAGCCCGTGTGTTTGCCCAGTCCTTTGGTGCAATCAAGAAGTGCAGAAGTATCCAGAAGAAAGCGAGCAGTACCCGGGATCCTCCCAGGAAGAAGCAGGCAGTGTGGAGCTCCTGTGCCCATGGGGAAGTGGCTGGGCCACACTCTCCCTGGCAGTGCAGCATTCTAATCAAATGCTCCCATTCTGCAGACAGACCACTCAACCACCTGCTACTCCCAGCCCAGGTGGAGCCCTGGGAGGGTCTCAGGATGCCCAGCATGTTGGGTTGTACCTGGGTGAGCCCTGGCCTACTCTTCCAAGTTGGGCACTTCTGGGCATGGCCACGCTGACAAGGCATCCTCTCCTGGCTCTGGGACAAGAGACCCACCCTTAGAGTCTCTTTGTCTTCCCCATCCCTTCCCTATTTTGCCAACCCTTGCTCCTCCCGAGTCCAGATTCTTCTCGCTCTCAGGGGTGCTGCTCTCCAGCTGGCCTCCAAGGTCCAGTGTGGGACTGGAGAGGGAGGAGAGAGAGAAGTGTGTTGGCCTCAGTCCACTGCTGTTTGCAGGTGCCACCACCTCTGCTCAAGGTCCAGAGTGCCCAGCTGCAGAGCCTGGCTGCAGGACTGTGGACTCCAGTACCTGCCAGTGCCCTCTCTGAAGTAGGACTCCATGGAAGCCACAAGGAGCAGAGCCATCCATGGTCCTGGGTTCCCTCGCCTGTGCCTCGGACACACGGGTTATCTGTATGACTGGGCACCCCTCCCCCTGAGGCACTCAACTCCAGGCTCTGCTGTACTCTTGCAGACACACACAGCTGCTCAACATCCCATGTCCCAGTGAGGCGCCCAGCACCAGTGGCTCCAGGTTGGGGACAGTTGGGGACCCTGTGGCTTTTTCTGGCCAGAGGGTTGAGGTCCTGAGTAAAACCTGACCAAGACCATGACAGTGGAGAGGGCTAGGACTGGACTCCAAGCCTGGACCCTGCGGCCAGGGATTCAGAGCAGATCCCTTCTAGGCCCTGATGCGCCTGGTGAGGAGAGTGAACCAGCCCCTTGTCTCTCATTTCAGGGAGGAGGAACCGGGAGCCAAAATGGTGCCGGAGCACCACAGCCCACCCTTGCTGGACTGGTCCTGGGAAGATGAAAGGGCTGCTCCCCAAACAGGGAAGCATGCCCCAGAGGACCCACGCTTCACCCCTGCCCTGCCTCCCCAGCCAGCCCCCTGCAGGCTCCTCCCTACCACCTCCACCCCTGCCTGGCTCTGGGAGCCCAGCCTCGGGCCGTGCACTTTCCATTAAGGAGATAGCATCCCTTTGCCCAAGTCCATTTGGGATCCATTTTAGTGTTATCTAAAAATCAAATCTACATGGTAATCCTTTTAATGTACTCCTGACTTTAGAGAAAAACAGCTTTGTGCTCCTTCAGGAAAGGTTTTAAAGCATTACCCAGTAATTACCACTCACCCATGAAAACACTGATATTTTACAAGGCCTGATGGCTGTGCCTACACAAATGCCCAGGCACATGCACAGATGCTCACGCCAGGTCCAGCCAAGTATACCGGTTCACTTGGGTCGTGGGGTACCCCAATCTCCAGGATGATGGGATGGGCATAGGAGCCACTTAGGCAGCAAGAAGCAAAACCTCAATGCCTACCTCTCCCTGGTGTGGGGGAATGGCAGCAGGCTGTGGGTGAGTAGGTTTGGAGGTGGGGGGGAAGGAGGCAGCTGGGCTGCAGAGAGAAGCCCCATCTGACTCATCCGTCGGCGACAGCCAGACACTTAGCCTTGGTTCCTTCATCTGGAAACAGGCCAGGCAGTCGGGTGGGTGACAGGTGATGGGAAGGGGCTCCCGGAAGCCACTAGGCCCCTCCCACATACTGGTAGCCATACCCTCCTTCCTCTTCAGAGAGAACCCCCCAGCACTCTTTATCAGGCTAGCCTTCCCCCTTCCCCCCTCAGTCCTCAGCAGCTCCTACTCCCCTCGCCCACTCCATGTTGCCCCGTGAATCAACATGTGAACTTTCTCACATGACCAAGCCTGCAGGCTCCCAGGCCCACCTCTTTCTCCCTTTTTCCATAACTCTGCCTTTCAAATAAACAGATAATCTTTTTAAAAAAGGAAATCTTTTCAAGTTTTCGTAAGAGTTGCAAGAACAGTAAAAAGAATTCCTATGTGCACTTCACCAGATCCCCCCAATAGGAATCTTCCACCAGGTCTCCTTTTCCTGTTTCCTATCCTTTTAAACCTTAACTGCCTGCCTCACCACCTCCCTTGTTCCCTCGCTACTTCACCACCCACCTAAGCATCTACTCACTTAGGCACCTGCAATTTATTTTCCTGATTCATTTGAGAAGTGATTTTAGGCATGAAACCCATATCCCTACATACCTTGGCATATAAATACCTTACTAAGAGTGAGGGCCATCCTACACATGACCCTGATCACACCTGATTAGGCCAAGAAACCCTCATGGAGCTGGTGTGGTCTACGGATCTCAGATTCTCTATTACATTGACATCTTTAATGCCAAAGCCCTGCCTTACGTGTCAGTTTCAGTCCACAGTGCCCCTCCCCCTTTCCAGAAGCTTCACCTTCCACAGTTTCCATGATCCAAGATCAACCTCAGTCCCCCAATAGCCACATTTATCTTGATTCTTGAGAGACCACATTCATATAATCTGATTATAGTATATTACTACAATTATGTCATTATGTTATTGTTGTTGGGCTTTTAATTTTTTCTTAAGTAGGTACAGGGAGGGAAAACAGAACTCATGAAAGTCCCCTATTATCTGTCTTTTCAGGCATCTTCTCAAGATGGGGGTGTCTCGGGATGGACCCCCTGAAGTTCAGGGGGTTGACTGGACGTGAGTCTCAAAGAATTCTTAAGCCATTCCTTGGGTTTCAAGCCTCTAGCGTTTTTAAAGATGAGTGGGCCAGTTAGCTTACAATCCAGCTCTCCATTTGAGTCTCCTACCATTTTCAGCTGTGTGCCTTGGTTTCCATCTTTTGCAAACGTGGGTGTAAAACAGCACTTTGTGGAGTTACCCAGGGGAACACCTGCCATACACGCTAGAACCAACACAACGGCCAGGCAGTCACAAGTGAGCTCTGATTAGTGCCACCCACTCAGTTCCAGGAAAGCATGGTACAGCTCCATCTCAGGTCCCCAGAATAGTAAGGGGCACTTATTCTGGGGCGGCAATCAACTGATGGGAGTATGCCACCGTGGTTACAGCCACACAGGCACGGGCCCGAGTCCAGCATTACTCAAAGGACAGTGTTAAGTGTGATCAGTGTAAGCGTGCACAGAAAGACTAGTGTGTGGTCAACGCAAATGTGTGTAGAAGGGATCAGTCCTGCCTGGCCAGCAGCCAGGCCAGTGGGAAGGGTGGCTATGGCAGCTCAGAGGGGGACAGTGCATGGGGACAGCCTGGTAACTTTACTCTGGAGACAGTGCTGCGAGCTGAGCCCCAGTACTTCTCTTAAGCCCTCAACACACTTCAGTCGTCCTTCCAAACCAGTGCTCAGGAATCCTATGGCCTGGGCAGCAGAAACTCAGCCCAGGCCTGCCCAGAACCTGCATAGCACGGCCACCCAGTGTGGTTCTAGGACTTCCTCACCAGGACCCCTCCCTCCCTGCTCTAGGGCAGGCATTCCCTGGCACAACAGGCTGAATGCCTACCAGCGCTTTGCTTCTAAGCACTTCATTCATAACTGCCCTAGCAGCTAGGGACCCTTATCATTCCCATTTCATCAAGGGGGAAACTGAGGCACAAAAGGCTGCCCACAGCAGGCATGAGACAGCCCTGACATACAGGCCCTGGCAACCTGCTGTCGGAGCTAAAGTATTAGGGGACCCATGTTGGAGGTGACACAAACGCGAAGACTCATGGGAAGGAAGCAGAAGTGGACCACGTGGCTGGACATGCACAGCAACACACAAACACTTACCCTTGTATGCACACAAGGAGCAGGGACTGGCTCCATTTTATATCTCCCATACAAGGGCTTTATTCCAGTACCCAGCACAGAGTTGGCACATGGCCGGTGCTCAGCACGTTGCAGGAAAATGCATGTCTGTGAATCCCAGGAAGCTCATGCGTGAGTATGGATGCATGTGTACAGGGGCTCGTGCAGACACATCCTCACACCAACAAGCAGTCACCAGTGCACGACGGCTATTATTTTAAACACTGGTGACAGCTCCAAATCAAGCTCTGTTTTGAACAAAACCCAGTGGGAGAGCTGGCCATGGAAGGAACGGGAGAAACTCAGCCCCACCATCCTCACACCCACCTCCACCGCTGTGGAATTTGGTATCAAGTCCCTGCCACCTGTAAGGTGTGCTTTGTCGCTGGGCCCACACCCACACCTGGAGCGGCTTTGGCTGGCGGCTCCTCCCAGGCAAGGCATCCATCCTCTTGAATACAGAAATTTGAAAGTGTAATCTAATTCCACAGAATCTCTTTAAATCTCGTTTTCTCAGAAGTAACTTCATTTCACACGGACACATCCAGCCTCGTGAGCAGGCCTCCATTTCACACTAGTTTTATCTCCACAATTTCTCATCTCACTGCACTCCTATCCCAGGGCCTTGCCACGCACCAGGCCAGGCCTGAACTAATAGCATTTCCTACTCATTTGGAATCAAAAGCCAATGAGAACAACTGTTGAG